AAAATATATACACCAGGCAGCCCAGGCACCTTACAGTTTCAACAGCTGTACCCCCTGATAGAACTGGCCACTCGTTTAATTATAAAATGTTCAGTTCCAAAAATATAAATCAGTGCTCTTCCTGGAACCCAGAGACTACCCTATCTTGAGCCGCATTGAAGATGCAAAGTTACAGTGCAAAATTTTCTCAGAAAAAAGATGACCAGTACGATCAAAAAGCTAGCAAAATAACTGTATATCCCGGATGCACAATCCACTTGTGCACTCTTACTCAACCTGCTACAGTCTTGCTTCCACTCCCAGCATTCAACTGAGACCACACTGACCAAGTTGACTGATGACTTAGTGATGGCCAAATCCAAAGGCTACAACTCGCTAGTTATTTTTCTGGATCTTTCTTCTGCTTTCGACACTGACTACCCACTTCTCCTTCTCACTCTTCCCAGCCTTGGCCTCTGTGGAACTGCTCTTTTCTAGTTCTCTTTCTACCTGTCTGACTGCTCCTTCAGTGTATCCTTCTTTGGTTTATCAGTTGGAGATTCTGCACTGGGACAAGCGCAATCTTAATGCATTTGCACACTGGGTAGTTGCCTGAGGGCACCACAAGCATAGGGGCCCAACAAGTATAGGGGCCCCATAGGATTGACAACTTTTCAGTATATTGCAGGAGATTTATTCAGAACCTTCAAACCCTCTTTGTTAAAACATTTAGGTGGACTAATCACTTCAGTATTGCCATCCTGAAGACCACTGACTTCAAGCCAATTATAGAGCACATGTTTTGCAAAAGTTTGTGTGGAACACTTGATGTTTAACTTCAAGGCTCATATTATATTGTCCACACATTTGTGTTGATTAATCTCTGCTGTACAGCATATTTATTTTAAGTTCCAATAAATATAGCTTAATTTAATCGATAATTAAAATTTTTATTCCAGTGAGTGGTTGTGTAAGCAATTTAAACTGTTTCTTCACTATTACTGACTGGGTGACTTTGCAATTTCTAGAACTCAACCTATTCAAGAATGAACTCTTTGCGTTTCCTCTCTCTAAAGTTACATATGTGCCTGTTTCCCCTAAAGGGACACTATAGTCACCAGAACCACTACAGCTTAATGTGGTGGTGCTAGTATCGATAGTCAGTACCTGCCTTTTCAGAGTTCACATTGCCGCCTAGGAATACCTCTAGTGGCAGTCACTCAGACAGCCACTAAAGGTGCTTCCTCATCAAGTACTGTACAGTACATAGCACTGGTTTTCAGCATCTCCACCAGGTATGTGAAAAACAGTGAGTTTAAGCACATTTTTAGTTCATGAGGGGGCTATAAACCTAAATAGTTATTTAACACTATTCTGTTAATACATGTTTGTGTGCCTGACACTATAGTGCTCCTTTGACAACAACGGAGCAATCATAACCTCTACTCAGCAAATGCTTTACTTTGTGTGCTCTTTTACTCCAACCTTTCCTTCACCCCAAACATAAAATCTAATGAATAATACTGTCAATTTTACTTTAAATACATATCTTACTTTTGTCCCTTTCTCACTCAAGATGCAGTTAAAACCCTTGGTCATGCTGTTGTTGTTTCCCACTTTATTACGGTAACCATCTGCTTGTTCAAATGAAAAGCAACCAGATTGACCCTCTACAGTCCATGATGAACGACTCTGTCAGACTCATTTACGTCTAGGAATTCTCATATCCCTGTCAGTCTCTACACTGGCCTCCGGTTTTATTTAGGATTTGGTTCAAAGTTGGTTCAAAGTTCGTGCACTTACTTTCAAAGCGCTCCAAAACTGTGCTCCTGCTTACATCTCCTTCCTCATTAGCACATATCCTCCAGCTTGGCCTCCATGGTCAGCCAACCACCTGTTACTATTCTGTTCTTACACACAAAACTTTATCCTGCAGGACTTTTTCATAGTGGTCCCCTATTTATGGAATGTCCTCCTATAGGATATCAAAATACTCCTTCCCTTTGCACTCCTTCAAAAAATCCCTACAGACACACGTCTTCAGAAAAGACTATCAGCTCTTCCCTTAACTCCTCATCCCCTACAACTTTCTTCTACCCTCTCCCATATGCTGTGCTCCCTCATCCCGAACACCTCTCATGCATTCAAATAGCTTGTTTCCCTTACTTCCCTTTGTGTATTTGTCCCTCATCCCTTTAGATTGTGAGCTTCGTTGGGCAGGAACCTCTTCATGCTCCCATATGTCATATACCGGTGTATATGATTAGAATTAAATGTTTGTCTTGTTTCCTAATGTACAGCACTGCAAAATATGTTGGGGCTATATAAATATTGTAATTGTAAAATTGTTTAAAAGTGCTCAAATCTCATATACCAAAAATATTTTTTAATAAATCCACGCCATGTATTTTACAAAGATAATGAACTTGTGAACCTAAATACCAAGCAGTCAGTAATTCTACTGAAATTTACTGAAATATAAAATTATATAAAACATATGATCTAAACTGAGCTGTTCTTGTGTTGTGTTATTCTTTGCATGCTGCAACCTTACTGATATCCTTAAAATTTTTGTATCTGCTAATGCTCTCTAGTTTACTCTGTTTTGGAACCATAGTCCACGATAGTATATATATATAACAGAGAATATAAATGTCTTCTACATACTTTGGATTTGCCTCTTCAGTATTTCATTATGAGGATTCTGGCTTGAGATTCATTATTCTTATTGTGACCTCTGAAAGCTATATTTTCAAGCCTCCTACTCAGACCATTGTTTTGTTGCATGGAAAGACTTTATTTATGAATACAAGACAAGCTGTTAGCGAGAACTGAATCTATTCTGGCGTCAAGTACATATTTAAATTTTTTCCTGCCATCCTTGTCTTGTAATCATAAATATAGCTTTCTCATGCAAACTGCCTCCATACTTCACACTCAGACAATTAAATAATGCTGTTCTCAATAAAACGCCACAGTCTTCTTTAACATTAGCAGCTAATATGTATGCATCATACACAGAGCATCATCTTCTTGCAGCTGTTTTTTTATTAATCCATCTTTGTTGCCCATAGTCTATTTTCCATTCCAGGCAGCCAGAACCCACTCTCAAAAAGAGAAATGTAATTGGAGAAGGCCACGTGTAATTGGAGATGCAGAGACACGAAGCACTAAAATCAACTGATGTATATAGTCCGTAGAACCAAAACAACACTATGTACCTTCAGTGGTGTATCGTGCTTAGCATTTGTGCTTCCCTCTGGTAAAATACCAGGTAGGTTGCAACACAAGTTGTTTAATTTGCTACTCAGAGCTGCCTTGAAAGTAATGGAGGAAAGTGTACTGTGGGATGTATATGATTTCAATCTAACTCCAAAAGAGACAGAAATGTACTGATTTAAAACAAAAACTCTAAAAAAAAAAACTAGAGACATTTTAAACGTTATTAATTTTTTTTTGCATTTTGTAGTAGTAGTAGTACCTTAACGGTACTGGCTATGAGGGCTATGATGGCTGAATTCTCAGACACTATCCAAACGAGCATTAAGGCGCAAATGCAAACCGTCACAGCAGAGCTCAGGAAAGACATGCAAGATATTGGGAACCACACTGCACACTTAGAAACCAAAATGTACGAATACTCAGTTTCCCACAACAGCCTGGCTGACAAACTACAAGAGCTGGATGATATAATAGAGGTGCACAGAATCAAATTGGCAGACATGGAGGACAGATCCCGGAGGAACATCCTCCGATTCAGGGGCATACCTGAATTGGTCACAAATGCCAACCTGGACAAATACCCATTGACCCTAAAGGGAGATACATTATTGTAGGTATTTTCTTACTACACAGTTGCATGCAACCATGTACCACAACAATGGGAAAGAGTCTAAGTACCTAGCCGTCAGCACAACAAGCAGCCACCAGAATCCCCTACCTAGTAGGCAAAGATGGAGGCAAGATAATGAATCCCATTGATATAGTTCAGGAATTTGCCCAGTTTTACAAAAAACTATACAACCTGGGCGAGGTAGAGGGGCCCACATCAGCCTGGCTGACAAACTACAAGAGCTGGATGATATAATAGAGGTGCACAGGATCAAATTGGCAGAAATAGAGGACAGATCCAGGAGGAACAACCTCTGATTCAGGGGCATACCTGAATTGGTCACAAATGCCAACCTTGGCAAATACCCATTGACCCTAAAGGGAGATATCGTAGGTATTTTCAATAACATGCCATATACCCTGGTGGCAGCTTACTTCCCAAACAACAACCCAGTTGCCTTCCTTAAGTCCCTCCTGATTACAAATGACAAATACAAGCAAGGAGGTCTCATTCTGAGAGTTGACTTCAACTTTATTCAATACCCCTCTCTTGACACTAAGGCCAAGCTGACAGGCAGGAGGAAAAAAAGGCATCCAACCCTCTGCAAAACATTGACCCATACCATGTCCATGTACAACCTCCATGATAGCTGGAGAATCCTGCATCCCACGGATAGGGACTACTCATTCTACTCCAGAGTCCACAACACCTACACTTGCATCAACGCATTCTATATAGACAACACAACACTAGCACAACTCTTAGGCTGTAATATTGGGGAGATATCATGGTCGGACCATGGTCCAGTGTTTCTTGACTTACATGACACATATACATTTCGGGGAAAAGGCACCTGGAGGCTAAACGAATCCCTCCTACATGATAAATAATTCGTAGAGCAAATGAGGAAGGACCTCCAAGAGTATTTCCTCACTAATGCATCTGGTGATGTATCAGATTGCACGGTGTGGTCTGCCCACAAAGCAGTGATGAAGGGAAATTTAATTAGACAAGCAGCATTCATAAAAAGACAACACCAATCCAGTCTCCTGGAATGTCACAAACAAATAGCGCTGACCACTGCCCAAAACAAACAAACACCCATACCAGATCTAGCATCTAAACTTGACAAACTATACCTGGATCTTACCGCACTTAATGCACAATAAAACAAATACTTTCTACACAGATTGCGTGCAAACACGTACCACAACAGTGGGAAAGAGTCTAAGTACCTAGGCGTCAGACTTAGAGCACAACATGCAGCCACCAGAATCCCTTACCTAATAGGCCAAGCTGGAGGCAAGATAATGAATCCCATTGATATAGTTCAGGAATTTGCCCAGTTTTACAAAAACCTCTACAACCTGGGCGAGGTAGAGGGGGTCACAGCCCCTGAGGCAAGCTCCATACAAAGCTATCTGGATCAGGTGGATCTCCCTAAAATAGGCCAGGACCATATAGATGCATTGCTTCAACCTATCACACTGAACAAAGTTGTTAAAGTAATCCAAAGTCTCCCCCCGGGTAAATCCCCTAGTCCCCCATATGCTAAAGATGTATCAGCAGGTGTCGGGGGAAGGCTCCCTCCTCTGGAAATGTTACTGGCCACAATTATAACGTTACCCAAACCAGACAAATCCACGGACAGCTGTAAAAACTTTCGCCCCATCTCCCTATTGAATACAGACGCCAAAGTTTATGCAAAAATCCTAGCCAATATACTTAACCTCATTCTCCCAACTATAATAGGGGACGACCAGACAGGCTTTGTCAGTGGGAGACAGGGCATGGATAACACTATGACATTTTCCTGGAAAAACTGAGGGGGTCTGGCCAAGGTGGCCTGATGATAGCCTTAGATGCTGAAAAGGCATTTGACTATCTGGGCTGGGTCTTCCGCAAGCAAACACTACTACAGTACGGTTTTCCCACTGCATTCTTAAAAAAATCTTTGCATTGTATTCAGGTCCCACAGCACAGGTCATGCAAGCTGGTTTCATTTCGAACAGTTCTCACTCACAAATAGCACAAGGCAAGGGTGCCCCCTTTCACTGCTCTTATACGTCCTAGCTCTAGAACCACTTTTGTGTAAAATTCGGAACCACACTGATATATGAGGGATAGCCTTTAACAGCCGGAAAAAAAAATAATGCATTTTCGGATGATATCCTTTTATATGTTTCTCAGCTAGAGACATCCCTAACACACACTCGAAATGTCTGGGGAAATGTCTGACTACTCACTCAATAAGGGTAAAACTTGAGCAAACACCTTATGAAAAGGTGGTATTCTCTGTTCCTAACTTGGAAAAAGCGCGTTGTGACAATCAAAATGTCCATTCTACCAAATCTCTAATACTTGTTCCGTACGCTGCCAAGCCGGGTACCCATGTCCCTTCTCCAAGCATTTCAAAAATACATATCCAGGTTTGTGTGGGGGGAAACTAGGCTAGGGTGACAGAGAGATTGCTGCAGGCACCGACGAGATAAGCGGGCCCCGCCCTCACAGATATTAAGGCCTACTACCAGACAACAGTGCTAGCATCGACTTTGCCCCACTTCCTTAACACTGATCCGCCACAATGGGTGTTGCTAGAAAAGTGGGCTATGAAGCCCTTTGACCTACCCACCATTCTGTAGCTGCCCAAAAGATTTTGCCCACACAATCCGCTGTTACCAGAGAAACTCAAATTGGCTGTGAAAGTCTGGGACATGAATAGGAAAAAATTGGAAAGCTCTACCCCTTTATCAATTGCAACCCCACTTAAAACAATCATGTACTGCATACCAACTTTCAATGCCAAACCATGGGTAGATAAAGGGGTCACACGCCTAATACAAATGTTTAAACACAATAAGCTGCTAGATTTTGAAACCCTTTAGGCAGACTATCAAGTACCACAGTCCTTGCAGTTCTCCCATACACAATTAAAATCATTTTTACACAGGTATAACACACAGACCCCCTAGAATGATGGGTCATTGGTAACTGTGATGAATTGGGAACAAATGGCTATTAAAGGTTCAATTTTACCACAATGTAAACTGCTCTGGTGCTTCACATATGTTGGAGCTGCACTCACATGAACAAATTCTGGAGCTCAGTTATCCATCTGATACAAAGAACCACACACACGCATACCGTTCACACCAATAACATACCTCCTGCTACACATGCCTAATGATATCCCCAATGGAACACAGATATTGATCTTCCACATTCTCTTAACAGCCCAACGGGCAATAGCAAGATTGTGGAAATCCCCAAGGTCACCAGAGGTGACGGAACTAAGGAGATTGACACCCAACACATATACAAGAACTGCTACCGCAGTGTGTTCCCTATGACGATGCCAGCCGTAATACATAGGTCCTTTTAAATCATTCAAATAGTTTCCTCGGAGGAATGTTCAAGCTTAACATACAATTTGATGCAGTCATTGCTCTACTTGCTCAGTCGTTTTGGATGAGATGGCCACACCGTGCACATGCTCACTCAATTGCATCTAGCACCCCCACTAACTAATACAGTGAAGTTCACGCTTGTGCACGCTAGTCCAAGGGGCCCGGCAGCACAGCCATGCTCCAGCTGGAGAGCTCACATCAGAAAGCTCTCCAACTAGAAAGACAAATGTTTAAAACAAATCTCTTAAAATCGAAAGGTTGTTGGGCCCCTAAGGACACGCAGGGCCCCAGAAACCTACCACACTGCACATTACCTCTCCCCCCACCTTCAAATGAGACATGTCATCATTACCTGCTCTCTGTTAGGTCTCCTTCTTCCTGTCCCACGCGGAGCTCTGTGTGATGGAAGAGGGGGGCTAGGAGGTGACATCTAACAGCAAGGGACCACAGGGAGCAGAAAGAGGTAGGAAATAAAAAGGGGAAGATGGGGAGAAACATCAGGGAACAGAGAGAGGTAGGAAATAAAAAGGGGGAGATGGGGAGAGACATCAGTAGGCAGGGGTCAAGTCCTGGGGAATAAAGTGTGGGAACTCACCCAAGATCCACCTCCTCCCCCCCCAAAAAAGAATATACACTTGTATGCATATATAAACGCGTGCACACACTGACTAGTGCACACATACACACTCACAGACACACACATACTCAGACACTCAAAAACACACACTCACAGACACACACATACACTCATACACACACACTCACAGACACACATATACACTTATACACACACACACACATACAGATACACACATACACTCAAACACACACACACATACACACACTCACAGACACACACTCACAGACAGACACACGCATACTCAGACACACACACACACATACACTCACAGAAACACACAAATTATTCATATTTTTTAAATTTAAAAAGTCCACCCAGCCTCCCTACCTGGAGAGCTGGCATGGACCTGTCCCTGTCTCCCTGTCAGACGTGGTGAGGGAGCTGTGTTCTCTCTGCTCTGCTCCCTCTCGCTGCGTGGGCTGTCTACTGATGCCGGGATCTGGAATATGATGTCATATTCCGGCTCCCGGCATCAGCAAACGGCACATGTGAGGGAGCAGAGCAGAGAGAAAACAGCTCCATCGCGTCTGACAGGGAGACAGGTGCCCGCTGCGTCTGACGGGATACACAGGTGGCATTTTGGGGCAGCATTTTTTTACGCTCCCTGAGTGCCTGCAGGAGCAACGGGAACGGCATTCCTGCTGTAGAAAAAGTGCAAGAACACCGTTCCCACACGTTCCTGCAGGACTCAAGCCCTGTCAGTAGGAAATAAAAAAGGGAAGATGGGGAGAGAAAAGTTAATGAAAGCAATACAAAAATAGAAGAGAGACAAGGAGTGTCATGGAAAGAGAACAACGTAAGGAACAGATCATGGAAGAGATGTAGGGTTCAATCAGAGAGAGAGAATCATGGTAAGAGGATTATATAGGGACAGCAATGGAAAAAAGAAATCAAGATGATTGAAAAGTATGGGGAAGGGGAATTAGGGGCTGCTGGAAAGGTTAAGGCTGCTGGTAATGTGAAATATGTAATGAAGGGGCTGTATATAATATGTTAGTTTGTGTGAGTATGGAGTGTGTGTATGGGTCAGAGTTTGTGTTTGTGGATATGTGTTCCAGTGATTGTGTCAGAGTAATAGTGTGTGAGTCACTGATTCACTGATTGTGTCAGAATGAGAGTGTTTGTGGGTCAGTAATTGTGTTTTGCAGTTTATATGCCAAAGAAAGGTGTAGGTGAATAGGTACAATGTTCAATTACATTTACAATTTATACTTTAACTTTTTGAGAGTATTTTACACATATACATATACAGATATATATTAACATGTGTATTATACTAATATATATATATATATTGTGATAAAGTGCTCCACTCCACAGTTTAGTGGTTTTCTGGGGAGACATAGATCCAGGCCAGGGTTTTTTGGACTGTCTCCAACCCACTGCACAGCTGCAGTTAATGAGCTGTTGCAGTGGGAATAAACTCCTCCCTGCTAGGCAGGTAGAGAGGGATTGCTGGCTTCCTCCCAGGAAGCAGGTAGGAGAGAGAGGCTGTTCTCTCCAGATAGAGTCAAGGAGACAAAGCACTGGGAGTGCAGAAAGGAAGCAGTCAGGGCAAGGCTGGCTTGGAGCACTGGGAGTGCAGAAAGGAAGCAGTCAAGGCAAGGCTGGCTTGGAGCACTGGGAGTGCAGAAAGGAAAGCAGTCAGGGCAAGGCTGACTTGGAGCACTGGGAGTGCAGGAAAGGAACGCAACAGGCTAGCCAGCAGAGTGTTGCTAACTAATAAGGTTGGTGCCATATGTTTTGTTAGTTTAACCCTGATAGAGAGGGACGTTCAAAGTGAGTTAGTGCTCAGACCGAGCTAGGTTTTTGTTTATAGGGTTTTATGCTACATTTATGTTTTAATTTACTGCTGTATCCTGTGTGGATTTGCAAATAAAGTGCCTGGAGTATATGCAACTACAAGGACTGTGCATGTTTTTGCCCTAGAGGACCGTGCTACCTGCTGACAAGGATCACAATATGGTGGAGAATGCGGGCAAAGTAGCACATTGAGGGTCTGTGGGTGTGCCAGTCATTCGGTAGTCTGCTTGAGGACTTTTATTTTTGCAGACCTGTTAAGCAAACAAGTAGCACTGCACCTTTAAGACTGTTACCCACTTGGTGCTATAATGGAGGACCTGCTGAGAGCTGTGGTACAGGCAACGGCTAAACAACAAGGCACAAACAGTTTCCTGGCTGCACAGGTTAAGAACCTGAGGGACGCTCAGCAGGAGCATAGAGCTGCCCTTACTGAGGTTTTGCAGATTGCCCCCTGCAGGGAGCGTGGGGACAAGGGACCCTGTAACCAAGCTACTGACATCCTGCATGGGATGACAAAGGCAGTAGAAGAAGTCTTCAGCAAGCTGAAAAG